TAATAATACCATTTTGAATGGTATGTTTAAAACAGAGCTAAACACTAATTTAAGAAAATTGATGTCAAGGTCAAAGGAAAGGTCAACGTCAAAAAATGTTGATGCAGTTTCATAGCTCTTATCAATATATATCAGCACATAAAGTTTTATATAAATTTCTTGGATATCTTGGATAGTTTCTTTGAAACTTAGCTTTGAACAGAGCTAAACGCAAACATGCCAAGAAAACCTTAGCAGTCTGAATATCGTGGAAACCATTTAGTTCAATGATATCGAATTGCAGGCTAATTACTCTGGAGCGCTACAGCGACGGCAGCCGGTGTTCCAGAGAATAAATTTACTGTTAGGTTTTCGTCGACTCTCTGGCTTATCTGGGTCACACATTTGCAACTCTTAACTACTCTCTATCTGCGTTAGTTATAGGAACATTTCTCAGCTCGTAAATATATTTTGAAAATCTTAATTCAAGATACACTGAATCAATCTCGCCATTTATTTACATTTCACATGGAAACAAAATCTCGAAGAATAAATGATAACCTATATTAATGACCTTTAATATTTAATTTTTAAAAGAGATATTTCAGCAATAAAAAAAAAGTACTTTTTAAAGGGATGTTTTACAAATCTGGAGAAAAAAAATCTTTATAAAAAAAATACACCATCCGCGCTTGGATAGAAAATATTGGTTTTGAGGATGTAAAAATTATGCTATTTAACGGACATGCGAGGATCACAGACAATATACTTAACAATTTATTTTCTTATAAGTTTTAAATTTTATTTCTGCAAATAAAACAAACTTATACTAAGATAATATTTATATACCTTAAATGTATGAATAATTTTAAAATTTGCCAACACCACAATTTATGCATTATTCCTTCAAGTCCCTTGGTCATTTTTGGCAATTTACTCCGATCCAAAGAATTGGTGGGAGATTACAAACAGCATATTATGTTACATCGGGTTAACATAGTTATAAAATGAATTTTAGCATAGATTATATCATCAATCATCTATCTCCGAAACGTACGCCAGTGTTACAAGATTGTGAATTGCCTGTCGAGAATCTTCAAGCCTTTAATAATGATGAAAACTCTGGAGCGCTGCGGCTATTGGATCCGCGCCAATCTCAAAATCGACAAAATCAGGTAACAGTAAAAACATTCATTTCAGTTGTTTTTTTTATGTTAATTCTAAATCTCATCATTTTTAAATCCTGAGAGAGTCAACCTCATTAACTTTTTCAAGAAGTATATAATAAATTTATTTGAAATAATATAGATATCAAGTGGCGGATCATGTACTGTGTAGTCAACGGATATGCTGGTTTATTAATGCTTTTCCAATAGGTCCAAAAACAGATAAACTATTTAATACTAGTAATAGTTATTGTATATTTATTATGGTGTATCCTGATTTATTTGGACGAAGGGCGGTGACGAGTGCGAAGCACGAGTCTCCGCCCTTCGTCCAAATAAATCAGGATACACCATAATAAATATTCAATAACTTTCTTGTATCATGGCCAATCAAACGTCATATCACAAATAATCATGCATGATTTTAAATTACACCAATAGAAAATGTAGTTTTTGTCAGGTGACCACATGGATAATCTCTTCTTCCTGCCAGTATTTTTAATAAACTCATTTTACTTGTGTGTGTTTATGAGAAAGGACGTCGGATTGCAGCATCCCGTCGTAATTTAAGCATGGATTTTTTTTTTCTGAAATTCACAAGAAAACCTTTGAAAATTCGAAGTGAAGAAGGAAAATTCAGATGTTATACGAAAATCAAGAAAAAAAGATACCCGTTGATCATTTGACATATTTGAGAGCTTTTGCATTCACGAAAACGCTGCGTCAGGGTCAATAACTCTTCATCTGTGGATGCAGTACATCTGCACTTATTCTCGTTGAACAAAGAACACGGCAAAGAGGGTATTTTTTGCTGGATCGCTATATTACAATAGATGTGATATTTTAATATAATTCTGTGTGAAATTCATTCAAGAACTTAATTTCTCGTTGCGGAGGATTAATTATTTGCAGAGTTCCGTAAAAGCATTTCGTAGTTTGGGATACGCACTGTAATTTATGTGAAAGACTTTTATTTCACTTGCAAAAATTTAGCATTTGTGTAGCCCATTTCATTCTGAAATTCAGATTCGATATACATGTAATTTTAAATGATGAAGTCGCCTTGGTGTTCAATAATTTATTTACACGGCACAGTTTTTGCTGGCTCCGCCCATCGGTGTATCTCCAGTTATTGTACACTTTACTTCAAAGGAAAACACCGCAGCTATGATACAATTTACTTTTATAAAAAAAATTGTATTTTCCAGATCCTAATTGTTAAAAGAGTTGAGATGATGCAGAATTGGTAATAAAATCATTTAAATTTTTAAACCTATAACTTTTTAATGGCTTTTACTGATAGAATCCACTAAAAGAAAGGCAAAGGATATACTGGAGTATGTCATGTCATATTCTAAATATGAGTAATACTTGGAAAATGATACACTGCTCCTACGTTTTGCCTGTGATGGGGCCAATATCTCAAAGAATATCAACTCTGTGAGAGGAGTTTTTAAAATACTTGTACCAAGGAATTCCCTCCCAGAAGATGTGGAAGATATCAGCATGTCAACAGAGGATGAATTTACATTATTTTTTTTACATTGGTATATTCAATTTCTCACTCTTAAGCAATCCTACTGGTATACATCAAATCTAATTATAAGTTATTCTAATTTAAATTCATTTAAAACTTTTAATTTAGGTGATGAAAGCAGACCAGTGCTTGAGAATTTGGTGACGGAAACATTTCAAGAAATGAAATACTTACAAGAGAATGGATTTGAGTTAAAGTAAAAAGAGGTAGAACTATATATTATCTTTTAATAATAACATCATGAAAGTTGCTTCTAAGAATTTTTAGAAATAGACAAATAGTCACTGTATTAAAGTTACATGTACATTATATGATGTCATTTTATACCAAATTTTTAAGGATTATTACATGTGATTGGAAAGCACTTTCAATAATAAGAGGGATCAATGGGGCCCAGTGTCAGTACTTTTGCATGTGGTGCCACTGCTCTAAGAAACAGATATGCGATTTCAGTAGTAAGTACAAGAATCACATTATCAGTCTCAAAATATTGTATTATTCTTTACTTTACATTCAATTCCAAGTTTCATTTAACTTTTTTTAGTTCCTTCATGGCCAATTCAAAGGAGTCCTGAAGAACAGATAAAGAACTTGCCAGGAAGCACCTTTGGATACAAGGAGAAAGACATGTGTCCATTCATTCCATATGGTGATATGCCAGTTGACGACCTTCATCTTCGGATTAGGATATCTCAAAAACTCTTTAACCAGGTAACAGTTATTAGATTTTTTTCCAGACTGGTATCATATATGTCTGTAATTTAAGCTAGTGTAAGTGCATTCATAAGTTCATAACATAACGGATAATGCACAAATTGTTTTTTTAGGTTGTGACATGGTCCATCGACCAAAAATCTGAAGATGATCTCTGCAAAAAAGCTCAAAAGGATTGGCATTTCCTTCAGAATTTGGGAAGAAAAAGGAGATGACAAGTTAAACACAAAAGTCAAAAAGTGGTCGCAGCCAACGGGTAAGATGGTATAATATATGTTTTTTTCTCAAATAAAAAATGATTTAATTTTGTAACTTATCAGATGATAACAAATGGCTTTTTCATATACAGCCTATCTGATTTATTTTCAATAATTTGAATTTTTTTAAGGAGATGACTTACGAACAATCATCCATAAAATGCAGCTGTCCAATGTACTGGACGATCAAAGAGACCGCCGCTATGTATACGTCAACAGTTTAACAGTAAGCCAGCTGAAAAATGAGCTCTCAGGTAGAGGACTGGACAAAAAGGGGAAAAAGTGTGTTTTGGTTGCTCGATTAAAAGAAGCAATAGGAAGCAACACAAAGGTTTGTTAAAATTCAAGATCTATTAATTCAGTTGTATAACATTTCAATACAAATATATATGATATTACACTTTGTAAATGTAAACAGATAACAAAAGTAAAGTCAATCTTCATGACATTGAAACATATTTCAACGGAATGAATGTACAAGTCTTTAAAAAATAATTGTAAAAACATTACATCTATAACAATTTGGTGTGAAGCTATTCTTAAAAATATCTTTCCAGATACAAAAAAGTGTCACTCGAGGCTGCAAGTATCATATGAATTATCAGATGATGAATGCGAGCAAGATTTGGACATCGATGCGTTGCAGGAGATCTGGCAGGGATTTCATGAGCTAATGGAAAGTCTGCGGGTCCTTCCAAACTCAGTGACCTACAAAACAGGCAAAGTATTTCGAAATGATGCTAAAGAATGGGCTACAAATTTTCGCAAACAAACTTTTGATGAAGATGTCATTCCTTATATCCATGGTAAGAACTTACACACACACACCCTCACACACTTTAATATCCTGTTCTTACACCCCCCCCCCCCATTCATGTTTTTATACATATAATTCAATTTCTTATTTTAAATCTTTTAAAATGTTAATTTCAGCCTTGGTGTACCATGTTCCACAATTTCTTGACAAGTTTAAGTACTTGCATGATATTGGAGTTGCCCAAGTGGAAAGAAAGAACTTTGACCACAGACAAGCCTACTTCGGAAGTACAAACAGAAATTGGGGCAGAAACCGGCAGAATATTTCAAAACAGGTATGTACCTTGTTATGTTCTACAACTATTAGGTCTTCTTTCTGAAATAAAAAAAAGCATCAGCTTAGTTTAATAAGTTTAATATTTTTTTCTTTATCAGATCCTTGAAAGAGAAAACCGGATGCTCTGGTCAGATGTGGAAGAAATTAGCAGAGTAAAGAGGCCTTATGTGAAGAAAACAGACACAGTCAATAGCTAAATAGTTAATCAACGTCAAATTGTCTATCATGCAGAGAATTTTACTTACTTTTTCTTGCTACATCTCCAGTAACTCTATTCCTCCTCGACCTAGTGAAGGTAAAATAAATCCAAGCAGGACCAAGGATGTTTGTGATGGTTGGTGTGCATGTTTGAGGACGTTCCTCTTCCATGCCAGCTCAGCTACATCTTCATGATATAGAAAAATAACATTTTATTTGTTCATTTCCAGGTTTTTTTGAATATAAATTGAATGGATGTATATACAATAGTTTCTAATAAAACATGGTATCTTAAATGTATTAGCCTATTTTATTTTATGTTCAAGCTTGCATTTCTCTATCTTATTCTATTTTAATTTAGTTCCAAAAAAAATTATAACATTTGAAATTATTGATGTGCTATACTTGTAATTTTTCTATAATGAAACGCAGTCATTATAATAAGGTTTATTAAAATGAAAACAATTTCATCCTATTTCTGCCTACCGTCAAATTTTGAAGATTTTGTTGATAATGTAATTTACTCCCTATTTCTTTCTGAATGTTATCTACATGCCTGACATTGAAAGTGACTATATAATACCTTGCACAGTTTTTTGTGGCAATATTGTTGCCTGGCCTTATATCCCCACCATATGTGGACATATTCCCGTTCTGAGACATATGTTTCTGTTGACGTCTTGTATCCTCGTTTCATCCAATTATTGCCAAGGATTAATGAAACCTCATCTACTGTGAGGTTACAATCAACATTTCCATTGTCCTTGGGAATCTTTCGAATTTCCTCACGGAAAGTGGCAGAAAACGTTTCAGCAGAAATTGGTACTTTCACAGTGATTCTGAATTGGTGTCCTATGCTGCCTTCCGGGGTATACCTTACATCCGCAAGACTGTCAAAAATGGATTGTTTTAGAGACAAGATTTCCATATTGTCGTCAGACTTCGGAAGGTCTAATATGTCCCTATTTAGTATGCAAGAATTGGGGTTGTTTATATTTCTCCCGACAAATGATTGGAGTTCAGGGTTGTGCTCGGCCGAGATCCATGTATCCGGACCATTCCAGTCTTTCCATTTCACAAGATACTCTTTGTCCCCGTTCGCTCCACGCACATCTAGTATGTCCTCAACTTCCCACAATTTCTGAAAGAATGTTTTATTATAGTTTTAATGCGATACCCAATCTACATGGAAGTGGATCTAACAGAGAAAGAGACTGGGTAATAAAAAGAGAAACAAAGCAAGGAAAAGTGAATAAACTTGATTATATTAATACTTGGCTAATCAGTTCAATTATTTAAAAATAAGTAAATGATATAGAAATATTAAAATCTTGTAACACCCTACCTTCTTGAAATTAATTTTAATGAAACAATAAAAGCGTATAGAAGTTAAGTCTAAGCTAAATTTTCTTTTTGTCAAGTCCCCCTCCCCTCCAGGGCACCTTATGATACAGACAAACATCCGTGTTTTAGTGAACTACCCGTTTTAAGAAATTATATATAATTTTTTGTCGTTTTTATGAGATATTTTTTGTTAATAACCTGTCCCAGCTTTGACTTGAGAAGGCTGCTACTTGCCTCCGTGCCTGAATATTCTATCATCATCAAGAACTTTCAATGCAGTGATTGCTATTATAAATGATATTTATTCAGATTCGTTAACATATTTAACAATAATAATAATTTATTTTTACCTCTTGATTTCTCTGCTCATGCCTAAAGTTTACGTTCTCTTCCCATTCTCCGAATCTTTGAGGCTTTTTCTTAATTCTTTTTTCCATTGTCTGATTGTTTTCGTTGTCCTGTCTACAGCCTTGATAGCGTGCATTTAATCAAGCAGATTTTTGAGATAAGACCAGCAGCAAGAAAATTAGGTAATAAAACCATGGTAACACTGACCCCTGCAGGACGGACAGAGTAGCCATCGCTTATCAGAACAGCGGGTCGCTAATTTCTAACGGTTCTCCTACACTGCCGATTTTGGTGGGGGATTTCTTGGCATGGTATGACGCAAGGACAGAAGGAAGGAAGACGGACATGACAAACACTATATGCCCCGGCATATTCATGGCGGGGCATAAAAATTTCTTTTTCTTTAAATTAAAGAACCACCATCACCAGTTTTGGATATGATGAACCTTCTTTGCAAAAGGGTGGTTCAGATTACCTCAGAAATTTCAATCAGTATTTCAAACAACCAGCAAGAACCTTTTTTAAGAAACAAAATACAAAGAAAAGTGAGTACATTATTGATTTTTATGTCAACGACAACAACCATAAGTCTCTGTCGAGACTGTAGCTCTACTGGTTTATACTTAAAACAAAGGAAGAGAAAAGTAGCAGTTGGGACTTGAGACTTTACATCAGCAATAAATAGAAAAATGATCCTTGCCACTCATCAAAATAAGAACCGATGCACAAAATTATGTACCTTAGTGTAGTCTACTTGTGTGCCAAGTTGCCAACTTATATTGAAATGGTGCCAAGTTATATTAAAATCAGACCAAAACTGAAGGGGAAGTAGCATTTTGAAACAATTTCTCAGAAATTTCTATTTTTAGTAACCATTGCAACATCGTTCATTGAAATCAAAAACTGGTGCATAGAATTATGTATCATAGTGTAGTCTACTTGTGTGCCAAGTTATATTGAAATCGGACCAAAACTGTAGGTGGAGTAGCATTTTGAAAGAATTTCACAGAAATTTCTATTTTAGTAACCATTGCAACACCGTTCATTGAAATGAAAAACCGATGTACAGAATTATGTACCGTAGTTTAGTCTACTTGTGTGCCAAGTTATACTGAAATCAGACCAAAACTGTAGGAGGAGTAGCATTTTGAAAAAATGTTTACAGACAGACAGACGGACGGACGACGGACGCATTACTATCGCATAAGCTCTTCTGGTCTCTGACCAGTAGAGCTAAAAATGATTGTGTTGGATAGGAATAAAGAAGTTACAATTTTCTATTGGAAAATTTATTGATAATTCATTTAGAATTATTATAGATGTTCTCTTCTTTTATATGCAAATTTATGATTACTAGACACTATGTTTACAAATCTGGAAAAAAGTTTTTATTAATTTATTCACTCAAAAATTTGAAAATCAAGACAGAAAAGAAGATAGACCACTGATACTTCAATATCCAGAATGGCCAGGAGATTCTTCAAATACATACTTGACTGAGGAATTGGATCCTTACATCCCCTTTACACAAAATCTACACACTCATTCGTGCATCAGTCATTACCAGTCATGGCTCCACAGCCAAACACTTCAATGTTGCAACAAGTAATGCCTCAAGATCCAAACACTTCTATTCCGCAACAAGTAATGCCTCAAAAGCCAAACACTTCTATGCCGCAACAAGTAATGTCTCAAGAGCCAAACACTTCTATGCCGCAACAAGTAATGCCTCAAGAGCCAAACACTTCCATGTTGCAACAAGTAATGCCACAAGAGTCAAACACTTCCATGTTGCAACAAGTTATGCCTCAACAGCCAAACACTTCTATGCCGAAACAAGTAATGCCTCAACAGCCAAACACCCTTATGCCGCAACAAGTAATGCCTCACGAGCCAAACACTTCCATGCCTTCTGTTCCAGATTTCTCGCCCAGGAGGTCGCCAAGATACGACACAGGACGACCAAGAAGTAAGTGCATAAAATTGATACTAATTTACATTTATTAATTTCTGAATTCTTTAATTTCATATATTTGTGAGATCATTTATTTCTTATGGTTCAGTGGTTGCAGAGAAGAAGCTAATAATGTTCCAAGGTTTACGACCGATTGACGATGAACGACGTACGACGACGGACGAAAACAGATAGGAATAGGTCACCTGAGTGACTCAGGTGACCTTAAAAACAGTTGAAACTGTGTCCATGTCCCCTTAAAAAAAGTAATTTGGTTTCTGGTCAAATTTATCAATACCATTTGAACAACGTCTCAGATAAATTTATTTCAACTTTACAGACCCGACTTCACCTCTGATACATTGTTTACATCAATTCATCAAAAATTAATTGATGTAAACAGGTTAAGGAAAATCACTAGATCCACCTTTATAGCTAGATTTTTTGTGTCAGAATTTCACGAGGAAGTTGTCGCATTATGAAGAGTAGTTGTTCCTTTTTACTGTATATCTTTGTGTTTTAATTCAAAAGTTGTACGTATATTAATACCGCGTTAACATATACCAGATAGGAAAAGAAGACATTTAATCTATCCTTTCAAGTTTTCTCTGTAAAATGAAAGAATGTCTTAAAAGCTTTTCAAAAAGTAAAAAAATACCATTCCTCATCTGCGTGTTCATGTGCAATGTCGTTACCGGAAATACTGTTTGTAATCTAAAGGCAAGATGCGGAGCAGGTCGAATCCGCATCTTTCAGTGAAATATCTATGGGAGCACATAAAATGCAATCAATACGTGAATTGAAAACTTAACATATAATATGTTTATATAAAAATAAAAAAGGTTGATAAAAATTGTTCGTTGTGTATCATAAAATGGCATACATGAAGATCTCATAAGAACAATGAAGTAATTTTTTTGTGTTTTTAATGCTGAAAAGGTGGTGGTGGTGGTGGGGGGACATTTAATGTTCTCTCTTTATGAAAAAAAGACAGCCAAAGGTTCCAATTCAAGCAAAAAAAATTAACCCTGGCAAAAACCAGAAAGGACAGCAAAAAAGAGGAGAAGTCCGTAGTGGGCAAGATGCTGGGAACAGTAATCAGGAAGATACGACAAAAAGAGCACAGGCTCTTTATCAGATAAAAAACACTGTTCAAGAGGGTTTTTCTTACTACTGTATTTATAGTTATCAGTAAAATGTACATGAATTTATAAAATAAAGAAGCACGCCCTCTTCTTCTTCCTCCTCCTCGCGATCTTCAATTTCCTATAAGTTGCACTAGGTCTTTGTAATACTAGTATTTGATAAGTATGGCTTTTTTGTCTGTTTTTATTTTTGCCCACTCCTTGGACTTTTAATCAGCTATAGAAGAAATCAAAGGAAATGAGAAAAAGTATATAATTTATATTCATTTACTAGTTCTCAAGTGTTCAAGAAATAAATGCATGGAACTTTTTCATTATTACTCAATTGCTGTAAGAATAAAACTTATGTATATAATCCCCACCCCTTCCTTCCATTGTTAACTTGGAAAATTTATTTAAAATAAAGGACGTCACTCCTGTAAAAAATCTTATTACAGTTATATATGGGAAAGGGCATACCCATGTCAAAATCCATTTCTTTCAATTTCTTCATCTCAGACTGACTGCATTGATAATTTCGGGTTTAGTTTTATTTTCTATGTTGTACGTTTTTCGGTCCTCTAATATAACGAATACAGGTTCTAAAAATTTGCAAAGTTGAACAGAATTAGATTTGGAACATTCTTTAAAAATATCATCGAATCGTTTTTGCATTTTGATGAAAAGTTTGGCAAATCAGGGTCTAGATTTTCCTCGGACAAATTACATGGTGGTCTCGTCTGGAAGGGGGTCAAGACTCAAGAAATATTCACAATCTCTGATGTTCATCCTCCAGTGTTTTTTTTTTTATTTCTTTATCCAGATTTGTGTGGTATAATTGCTCTTCCCCATCCTCGATGGTAAATATTGAATACATATTATTTTTCTTATCTATGAATGTAATATATAAAATGTTAGAAGATTGTATGTTACATAGAAGGAAGAAAAAAATTCATTAAATTTTAAACCTATATTGAAAGGCCAAAGAATTATATACAACAACCAAGTGCGAGGTTGCCATATTAATATAGCACCGTTAGGCAAAATGAGTCACTGGAACACACCATTCTTTGAGAAGGTAACATATAACTTCATTACCGTCTTCCTTGGAAGACGGTATTATATAGTTGAAGTTTTTTACAGTCTTCGGACTATGCACTTCCTCTCTTCTGTGATTGGTAGAAATTGCATGATGAGAAAATTTTCAATTATTTCATTGGTTGAAATACTGTTCAAGGCAAGGGAGATAAATGTCTGATGGTCTAATTTTCGTACGACTTAACAATTTTTCAATATTTCCAATCTTAAAAAAATGACAAAATGAACAACAAAATCAGCAGTTATTAATTCTGAATAACAAGAGTTTTAATAGCAATATCTAAACAGGTCTCTTTATTTTCATGAAGTTGCAAATAAGATTTGATTGTTATTGCTTGCTGGCTTTACAATTTGCATTTATTCTTTTCCCCTTATTTGTTTGAAGGTAACATTTAACGGAATCGGCCGGGGTTTGCCGAAGGTCTCTGTTAGTTTTCGGATATGACCGAGCGACAACCGCGATAGGGCTAAAACCAGTAAAAATCTAATGTAGAAATACGAAATCAAAAAATTCAAAAGAATTATACGACTTGAAAGATGTAGATTAGTTTACTGTTTAAAGTTGTTGCTAAAGACGGTAAGCTTTTTTAAAAAGCTCTACTTGTACTACATTACGGTCATTTGAAAGTAATTAAACTCTTTATTTCTAAATAAAAACGTTTCATTTATTTCTTCAAATAGTGTGTAAAATCCGTCTTGTCCCCTAATACTTCTTTGCACTCAGCATCATGCATGCACTACTCAAACCATCTATATCACATTCTACATCCTATTCAAGCACTCTGTCTACAACCAATCCCACCTCTCAATCTTCAACTACGCAAGTAACAGTACACTCTGCTTTCAATATCCCTCCCCACAGCCTTCTACATCATTTTTTGTATCTTTGACCTGCTCCCCGTAAATGTAAAAGAGAGGTCACCAGTATCTGTCAGAATAAAACAACCAACATGCAGAACCAACAATAAAAGTACACAGACTTCTTCCTTTGCTGTTGGCCTGACCAAACAATGTAATGGCTGCCTTTCGGAGGAAGAAAAGGGATACTGGGTCGGTTGTGACCATAAATCGCGCCGATGCCGTACTTGATACATGACCGATGTCTGAGTTTCACATTCCCAACAAGTCTATTCTTTAAAAAGTGTCCATCTCATTTGTAATGCAGTTTATTAGTTGTTTATAATTGGTAATTATTTGAAATTGTGCAATAAAAATACATATATGCACATTATATTCTGTATCAAAGACTTTTCCAGTTTGTCAAGGCTTCTACAAGCTTGATTTCAGGGCTTCTCTTTGGGTGCGGCTGGAGGTAGCCATTTCTTAGACATTTCACCTCTTGATTTGAGTATGAAGTCACACCCTTCCCCTTTACTAGGATGTCCTGATTTTAAAAGAAATTCTTAAATATTTATTTAATATATTAAGTTTCTTGTGACATTTCATTATAACTTGTCTTTGTAAAATAAAGGACAAACTTAAGAGCACTTACGGGTGAGGGACTCAGTGTCATTTACAAATGTGGAAACTTAGGATTGTGCAAATATTCTTATCAATGAGCCCAAAATTTCGATTTCTTGGAAGTTGTATTTATTTGTACCAAAATATAATGGTACAAACTTCAACCTTGCAGCTATTATAATGACTAAATTTTTTCTCCGAACACCACAAATGTAGGTGAAAATGCCCTCCTGATTGAATATGTCAATATGATGTAATGTACCTTAAGTATAATTATTTAATTAGATAAGAAGTTAATTCAAAAATTTATTATTTTTAATGATATAAAATAAATGATATCTATTTTATCGAACTTGTAATTTGGGGCCTTGACTCCACAGCACTACTGAAAATATCCATGTGCTGACGGTTGTTTGTCATTGCTCACACAATGTCTGACGTAGAGAAGTAGTAATTCATCTCCTTTATTTGAGAGAAAAGCAAAAGAATGATAAAAAAAATTAAATATTATGTACTTCTTTTATAATCACCTTACTTATATAAGTATCTGTGCCGAAAAGCATTATCTCTAGGAACCGGAATGCTTTGTGATGGTCATTACCATCCATACAAGATTTCAAAACTTTTGGCGTTCTGTATTCCAGCATCTTTGCTAGGTCCTCCCCAAGAAGTTCCATGTGAGCTTAATTATGGCTAAAATTATAATGATCTAAATTGTTCACATAAAAAACATGTGTACAATTTATATTAAGTAGATGACATATTAATATTGTAGGAATGGATGATGCTGAACGAATTATACTAGTATATCATTTATAAATGTACCCTTTTATTATAATATACCTTTCGTCATGTTTATTTCAAAATGACCTAGACCTGGCTGCAGAAGTATGTCTTGAAGTTCTGAATGTTTCCTAAAGACTCTTCTGGCGATGAGATAAAGGAGTCCTTCGCACCCAACAGCCGTCCAGGTTCTTCCTCTGCCTGTAGTCGACTCCTTTATGGTGGTCAGCGTAATAGGAACACGGATTGGTGGCCTGGCCATTCATTCATTCTGATGTTTATCTCTAAGATCAATTTGTAATATAAGTCACATAATCATGCTTGGAAAATTTGTATGAGATGTCACTTGCAGGAATACATAAAACATAGGATTTCTGTACATTACAATAACTCAAAGATCAAGGTCAATATTCCTTAATTTTATGAATTATATTTCAAAATTTGAATACCATGTATAGAGGCATATCAAATCTTCTAAATGTTACTTTTGAAGCTAAGATTTTCTTTTGTAAATCTCCTTTGCAAGTTAAGAATGAGGGTGTCTACTCATAGAGGTAATTTTTTTTTCAATTATGCAACACTGTGCCATGTCATAGATCAAAGTTCAACTTCATTCTAATTTTGAAAAGTCTATGAATTATAAAGGTTCAAAGTCTTTTTTTTTAAATTCTTTTTTGTCCAGAGCCATAAATAACATCTATGTTTCTGCTTGTGTAATTTTTTCTTCATATTTACTTGAAAGTACAATGTCATTGAAATCAGACTTCTTAGATCTGCACCGTATATACTATGTTGAGCAAAGGGTTTTCAAGATCTTAAATGGTTAATATCTTTATATATATTTTGAATAGTTTGACCTTTGACCTTTTGACCTCCATCTCAAAAGGGGTCATTTACTTACTAAGGGGTACCAGTGTACATATACTAAGTTTCTTGTCTGTCAAGCAAAGGATTATTTAGACATGGAATGAGTAATACTTGGTCTATGATTGCATGAGATAGCTGTTGAGCAACGTTACTCTTCCTTTTCCCAAATGGAGCATAAAATGTTGAAATCCTGTATTTACTCCCTAAAGTGCTTAAAATATGACAAGTTAATTGATGCAAAGCATCAAATCGGCCGCTAACATATTTAACATGTCAAAAAAGTACTTTCACAATTCAAAGCATTCATGCAAGAAAAGAACAGGATATTCAAAGCTGAAATTGTGATCATTTTTATTTCAGGCCGTCTTCAAAGCAAAAAAAATAGACAAATATTTTTAAAAATTTGATCGAAATTTGAGCATTATGCCTGCTGTTCAATCCAATTTAATGAATAAAATATATTTTTAACTAGAAATTTTAGTGCATTTGCTCATCCAATGAATTTATCGATGTAAAAAGTCTATGATGAATATGCATGGTATCGGAAGCAAATCGAAAGTGGGATGCCATGGGGTGGGCTAATGGAAAGGGGGGGGGGCTAAACCAACAAAAATGGTAAAGCCCATTTTCAATGCCTAAATAATGTATATATTTGCAAAAAAATGTGGGGGGAGCTACATATGTAACCCAATCCCCTGGTTCTGACGCCCCTTTCAAGATATACCACGTGCTGATACCCTGGTTATAATGCCTGGTTTCTGCAGAGTAGGCTATGCTGCATGGTGCGGTGCAAAAATGTATTAAAAAAAATCTTTGTGTCAGTCGTAGCTGTGGGATTTTCAAACAAGTTTTTACTAGTAGACCAATTTTAAAATTTTTTATTCACCATGCACTTTTACCACGTGCACGTCATTATTATCCGGAAAATCATAACAATTTCCTTTCGTATCTTACACATTCCCTGGATGGGGAGTACCTATTATAAACTTCTTTAATTTAACCATAAATTATCAATTATCTGATGCTAAATGATAATGAAATTGAAACAAAATAACAATAATTAAAACTTAATTTAAAGCAAGTTTTTAAAATATTATACTCATGATTTGATTTGATACATGTTATCATTTGAGAATTATTTTACTGAACTAATAAAAAAAAATAACATCTCATTTCCCCATGTGCACATTCTAACACAACCGCAAATAGATCGGACGCTGCTGCGGCCGATAATTAAAACTTTAGGTAAACAATTAGCTGCAGAACTGTAGCTCTCCGAAAAAATATATATTGATAGACCGGAGAGCTACAGTGCCACCCATTGAAAAAACTGTACATTTATTGCGCACAAAAAAGTGCGCTGTTTCTGGATTTATTTCTCCATGTTTTTAAAACTGTCATTTCAAAATATTACTAACCGTGTGTTCCTAACATATTCTTTCACTGTTTCCACAACAAAACATTCCTTATAATTGTTTGTAATAGCCCTTCTGGTCCTGAATTTGCGATCACCGAAAATTTCGCCTATTTATACTGCCATTTTGGTTTGCAAGATAATTCGGTCAAACGCGCTTCGTACTGATGTAAACTACATAATTGATAGAGGAGTAAGGACTTTATTGAAATGTAGCTTTTTGGAGTTGAGGTAAGAATTTGAAAGAATTAATCCAGAAACAGCGCACTTTTTTTGTGCGCAATAAATATACAGTTTTTTCAATGGGTGGCACTGTAGCTCTCCGGTCTATCAATATATATATTTTTTCGGAGAGCTACAGTTCTGCAGCTAGTAAACAATATGCTGCAACATCAAAATTTACTTACTTTAAATACTTTACTGAACTAAAAAAGTTAATATATAACTAATTGAAGGTTAAATAGAGATTTCTCAGTAGTTTGGGCATATTTCGTTGCCATGGCAACAGAAAGTATGTTTTCATTATCATTTTCAGAAACCTCATAATACCTACTTTCGGAATATATATACATTGGTATTTACAAAAATTACAAGAAATACCCGAAAAAATGCATTAAAATCTTGATATCAATTTCTCTAAAAATGCTAAAAATCTTTGTCATGGAAGGGGTTAAGAGGACGGTTCCTCGTCTTCTCTCAATCTCTGTCTATGTGTGGCCTCTTGGGTGGCATCTGAAGGACCTTTTCAACCCTTCTTTTGTTCTTTCGCAATGTTCTGCAGACGACTTTCTATGAAATTCACTAAGATATCTAAATATATCTGATAATTTATCAAAATAAGAGGGAAGATGAGAGTAAAGTGATTTGAAGTTCTCTGAATACAGTCATTTTCTTAATAGAAGGGACGAAGAATGAGCTAAACTTGACGTCCTCGACTATATGCCACCAGTGAAACTGTTGCTTGGGACGTGCCTTCGTTCTCTGGGCCCTCTGGTGACCGGAGGACGGAATAACATGTCATAGATGCATGACCTCGGACCGAAGACCCTGCGGCTCGAATAGCCGACAGGACGCATCCGAGTCATCGGGTTCATGCCAAATAACACCTGATTTATCGAGCTAGAAACAGATATATGTATTTAGACTACTATTATGTGGATTACTGGTATTTATTGGTTCAAATTATTTTTTGTTTATTTTCAAATATTTAATTAAATTAGCACCATGACAAAATTTATTTTCTTGCATTACTTTTCAGCTTTCAACAAGGTTGCAAACATCCCCCAGCATGAATATAAAAAGTTTTCTTTTTTTGATTGACTTTTAGTACCAATAATTTCAATATTTACAAGAAATCCCACACAGTAATATAATGCTGCACCGATCGCAATGCACGTGTCAATGTGACGTCATCTCACAAAAATGACGCAGTTTGTACACAGCGAGTGGGTGATCAAGTCGCACTTTGTACAATGAAAAATGTCTTTTGTTCTAAAATAAAATATTTGCTTTTGAAGAAAAGGCCGTTCCCTTGGATGTGATGTCTAGTTTACTATTTAATTTATTTATAAACATGTCCGTATATTCTCCAGAAAAGTGGTACTGTCGTGTGTTTGTCTGCGTATTCATTGATATGGGATCAAGGTCAAGGTCGTGGACAATGTAAGGCGTGTTTTTAGCTCACCTGAGCCGAAGGCTCAAGTGAGCATTTCTGATCACATTTTGTCCGGCGTCCGTCTGTCTGTCTGTCCGTAAACTTTTCACATTTTCGACTTCTTCTCAAGAACCGCTGGGCCAATTTCGACCAAACTTGCCACAAAGCATCCTTGGGTGAAGGGGATTCAAGTTTGTTCAAATGAAGGGCCATGCCCTTATTCAAGGGGAGATAATTGAGAATTAGTGAAAATTTGGTGGTATGTTTGAAAAATCTTCCTTTTAAGAACCACTGTGCCAGGAAAGTTGAAACTTATGGGGAAACATCCTCAGGTAGTCTAGATTCAAGTTTGTTCAAATCATGTCCCCCGGGGGTAGGGCGGGGCCACAATGGCCGACCAAAGTTTTATATAGAAATATATAGGAGAATTCTTTAAAAATCTTCTTCTCAAGAATAGCAGAGCCATAATTGCTCACATTTATATGGAAGCATCCCCAGGTAGTGTAGATTCAAGTTTGTTCAAATCATGACCCCCGGGGGTAGGGCGGGGCCACAATGGCCGACCAAAGTTTTACATAGAAATATACAGGAAAATTCTTTAAAAATCTTCTTCTCAAGAACAGCAAAGCCGTGATTGCTCATATTTATATGGAAGCATCCCCAGGTAGTGTAGATTCAAATTTATTAAAATCATGACCCCCGGGGGTAGGGCATGGCCAAAATGGCCGACCAAAGTTTTACATAGAAATATATAGGAAAATTCTTTTAAAATTTTCTTCTCAAGAACAGCAGAGCCACAATTGCTCATACTTATATGGAAGCATCCCCAGGTAATGTAGAATTAAGTTTGTTCAAATCATGACCCCCAGGGGTAGGGCGGGGCCACAATGGCCGACCAAAGTTTTACATAGAAATATATAGGAAAATTCTTTAAAAATCTTCTTCTCAAGAATAGCAAAACCATAATTGCTCATATTTATATGGAAGCATTTCTGGTAGTGTAGATTCAAGTTTGTTCAAATCATGACCCCCGGGGGTAGAGCGGGGCCAAACTTTTGGATTCAAACTTTTCAATAGTAAACCAATTACTACTTTTTCCTAGCCACAATGCTCGGGTGAGCGATGTGGCCCATGGGCCTCTTGTTCCATAGGCGCTTGGTTACAGGATGGTGTATTTTGTGTATTATGTGTTTTTCTATGTGTGCCTGAATACCCTCATCAAAATAAAAATAATAACTAGAGCAAAGCTCGTTGCAAAGCAACGAGTAGGTCTTCCGTCCTGTTTGTCCGGAAGTAGCTTTCATTTTTAACAAAAATGAGAAATAATGCCAAAAAATGCTTTGAATCCTCTAAAGCTATGTTAATT